TCTAATCTCTATATATCTCTCTCAGTTTGTTTCTGCTTGAAGAGGAACAGTTCACACCAAAAACATGAGGGACTGTAATGTATATATATACACAAATTTATTTCCATAATAAAAGAGCTGAGGGTTTTTTTGGGTAAATGCTTGGCTAGCAAGTATGCGTGCCTGCCAAGGATTTTTTATTTTATTTTGTGTAACAAACAAAAAAAATAGTACATTTTTGTAGTGTCAGTTACTATAGGACTCTCTCCCGAGCAATGTTTCTAATTATAGTAAAAAAAAATAAAAAAACCATACATTGCACGACACGTCGACGTGGTGAAATGCGTGTTCAGTACTCACGCACCCTTTTCAACTTCCCAAGTTCAATTTGTGGAGAATATTTTGTTTACTATGAAAGTATTTAATATATGGAAAATGATATGTTGTTGTTACGGAACTATTTTGTCGAAATTTGGAGTTGTTCGATTTTCATGTAATTGTCGGGGATAGTTGATCTAATGGTTACAAACCCTGACGAAATGGTTTTGTAACGTGACGTAACATATATGTATCGACAATTAATAAATTAATGTTTTTTTTCTCACTCATTTTTTCATTTAATTATAGAAACTAACTTTATACTCTACATTAATATGTAATAATTTTTTTCTAACTATTCATCATATATTAATTGTTACTAACATTAACTATTTTAAATTCACTACTAAAAGATTTATGAGAGTTACATACTTATAAAAATATATAGATAGTAAAAATTGTTCTTGAAGATATTAATTTTATAATGAAAGATATTAATTTTATAATGAATATTATCTTTTTAATTTTTATTCGTAAGAAATTTTTCAGACAATTAATTGTTTCAGTGACATAACAAACCATTTAAAATTGCGTAAAAGATATTTATAACAATAATCATAATTTAGTATTTTTCAACTATTTAATTCTTCACGATCATATAAATTGCAATTTATATTGATTCTTATATTAATAAAATAGTTTGTAATTATATTATTTATTTTTACTAATTATCATATTTATTAAATAGGATATAACTTATAATTTTAAATATAATATCCGTACATATCATTTATAATATTTTTATAGACATACTTGCTTGTACATAGTATTTATCACTAGTTACAATTAACTTTGGATAATATGTGAATTTTCTAATTTTCCTAAAAATTACAATACATTTATGAATTACGAATAAATAATGTATTTAGTGGAAGTTGGCACTTGGCACGTAACACGAAATAATTTTATTTGACATTATTAACTTAAAAATAAATAAATGAGTGGAACGGATGCAAGTCGATTTGTGTATTTAATTTTAATTTTCATTTACATGTATTCTTGTATTTAGTCATGACACTCTACATGGATGGAGCTATACGCACTATAACCTACGAACGAACAACTCTTTTGTACCTTGTGCTAGGCGTGCAATGAGCTGGTTGTTTGGCGTATTCGCCCTTCTTTTTACTCCCGAAAGAGTAGTGCGTAGCTCATGCGATGCCCGGGCAATAATTATAATTGAATATATTGAATTAATATTGATTAGTATAAAAATAATTATAAACTTTAATAATCATTTATATATTTATTTCACTGCTTATAAAATAATTATCATAGATCATATTTATAATTAAGGATAATAAAAATTTAACATATTTAAATATTATCAATAAATAATACTCACGAAATACTTCTCTCTCTATATATTCTCTTATGCATACCTTGTTACAATATATTATTTCGTTTTCTATATAAGTTAGGCTAAAGTTGAAAAAATGTGCCAATTATTATAACCAACACTTTGAGAGGGATTGTAATATATATTATTTGAAGTTAAAAAATATTAATTTTCAATTACATCAATATTATTTTATTTATTTCTTATAATTTATAATATTATAAATAATATGAATTTTTTTGGCTAATTTAGTAATTCATATTAGATTTGTTATCCCCCTATATATTAATCCAGAACGCGTTGAGCCTACGTGGCTGCTTCTGGTGCTTCGCAATCCTATGTGGCAAAATTACATGTTTCGTTATTAGGCTTGGGTAAATTTTAATTTAATTCCAAACCAAAAATAATTAGGCTCGAAGTACCATAAATATGTTGATTATTTATGGTCATGTTACATGTATTAATTGCATTTTAATATCATTCATAATTATAACTATTAAATTGTATATATATTTTAAAAGTTAATAACTTTTGTATTTTTTATCAGTTTTACATATGTAATATATCAAATTAATCTTTTTTTCATGAGCTTCGATTTAACATCCATATTGTATATATAAAAAAAATAATTTATATTTATCTTTATAACAATAATAAAATTATTTTAATTATTAATTAGAAAAATAAAATTATTTATCAACTAATATATTTATATTTCAAGTAGTTATATGATATAAGTTATAAAAACTAATATAATATAACACATGTAAGAAATAAGTAACGCATATCATTCTAAAATATATAGTAATATATTTTTTTGTAAAAAAGTAAACTAAATTTAATATAGTTTTCTCATTAATTTTAAAATTTAAGAATAATTTTTTAACAAGCACCCGTGTAATACATGGGTGTTGTACTAGTGTTAATTTAAAAGTAGTAGAAACTCGCAATATAATTTCCAAATTACGATTTGAGCTCTGATTCTAAATTGCTCGAATTACTTCCTCATGTTTAAGATATAATGTCTCTCAATTGATTCGATTACTGACAATCAAATCAGTTGATCTCTTGTGCAGAAGGTAGCACCACTCAATACATTATTATTATGTCGGAACTTAATCCACTTGTTGGGTTTAACATAATAATCCATATGAGCTTACTTCGGCGACATCATCAAACCTCAACCATCTGAAGTACATGGTGACCGTAAATATTTCAACACCACACCATGTCATGCAGCTTTATCACCCAACTAAACTAGTTATTGGTCTAGAAAGAATGAACCTCATCGTGATGAATCAAAGTAGTAACTACTACATACATGTGTCTGCTTATATCTTACGGGTTAAGAGTACGTAGTAATTAGTCAAAGCCTAGTTTGTTTCGTTGATCAGTATAAAACGAGATGCTCCTCTCTCAGATCCGTCCAATACATAATTGTAAAAGTGCAACTAATCTGTCAAGACCAATTGTACTGTTCACACTACAACTGTTCTAATGGCCCTTTGTAGTTTTCATCTAGGTTATGAACCAATTTCTTTATGTTTCGCAAGTCACTGAAAAATGATGTTCTGTCCATCCGTGATGAATCATTTATCTAAGTAGAAAACAACAAAACACATAAACTTGTTTAATCAAACATGATTTTTCATTCCACATAAATGGTATAAATAACATCCAAAGTCAAGCTTTCAGTTTATACACTACTAATCTTTCATTTATACTTGAAGCTTTCGCTTTTCTAGAATACATCTTTCAATTCTTATTCTAGAAGATCGGGTATTATACATTTGGGATCGTTTTCGTCTATTCTCCTTTTGGGAGCTTTGTAGTTTTTCTAGTGTTTGTCGTGTCCCTCGTGTCGGGAGTATTGTGTTTTGGTCGTTGTTAGTCGATTCTAGCGGTCTTCAGATCATTCCTCCCAATTTATTCAGTTTTTGGTTGTATTATTCAGATAGGGGTTGCGCAAATTTGTGCGGTTTTATCTATAAAATCCTCTATCATTTCGGGAAAAAAAAAGAGCATTAAGGCCTAGCTTTGGAACCGAACCAGCCTCAATGATTTTTGTTTGAAACCCTCCTCTAACTTCTCTCTAGATGTCTTGCTTGAAGATTGGCATCACTTCAAGCCAATCGTTCCACATCCAAGAGCCAGATGTTCGAATTTACATAATCGAACCGAATTTATATAAAAACCAAACTAATTTTATTGTGAATTGAACACAAAAACTCAAAAACTGTCACTTGAAGATACTAAAATTGAGAGGAAAAAAATGATAAATAGTTGAAAATGTTGTGAAAAAATAAGTTTTTTTCGAGGGAAGGGAGATTATATTTATATAATTTTTTTTTCTTTTTTTTTTATATTTTTGAATTGGTTGTTTCGAGTTTGCCCAACAGTTCAAACGGTTCAAATCAATCCTGGTCATTGGATCTCCAACAACTAGATTTAAAAATATGATTGTTGTCGATTTTGAACTGATTCGGACCAGAACCATATTTAATAAATAAAGAAATGTTTTTGAATCTTCAACGGTCAAAAAGATCCAACGGACCAAATGTAGTATGACCGACAGGTCGTCAATGGTCATCAACAATTCCCATCGCACTGGAAAATTAAAAAAAATGAAAATTGAAAAAAGAAAAAATGAAATTGTCGGGATGCCAAAGCCAATTCTGGGACAACCCTGAAACGGCCCGACAAAACCACAAGCCCGATTCCAAGCCCTCAGTCAACAGGCATGACCGTGCTGGTTCAGAGGCAAACTAGTACCATGTCTAGTGAACATGTAATAAAAATTGGAAATAAATAACAAAAATACATACTATATATTGATATATGGGTTTGGGTCTCTGACGTAGAATGAAGCGTACGATGGGAACAAGAAGAAGAACTTCAAGAGATAATTTTATTTCATCGATAAAAACCAAGTCTTCCAAACAATGAAAACCCACAATATATAGACTCCTATCCTTATTTTCCTAAATAAAACATAAAAATAATAATAACTCTCCTAATAAGTAAAAGACAACCAATAATAAAAGACAACCAATAAAAGAAGGGAAATAGATACTAAATGCGATAATATATCTTCTAGACCCGGAGCCGATCGTAGTTTGCCAAAAATGCCAATGCGATCTCGTCGCCATCAGTCTCACATGTCAACTTACATGCAAAGATGGCAAAAGGTAATGCAAATTAATGTACCTTCAAATAGCCCTAAACCATAGCAATGACACAAACGCTTTTGAAATTTAGGTCAGCTCAGCACGCACACACAACCACAACAAACATTGAAATTTGATTACACTGGGGATACATGACTTGTCTCATTCAAAAAGAGGCAACCGAACACATAGTTGAAAAAGTTTTTTCCCTCGACTATTCCTCCGTTGCCCGTAACCACTTCAGTGTCGTATTTGCAAGCACGATTACAGTCAGGGCAATATGTTACCTACAAAGAAAAAAGCAAACAATCAAATTTATGAAGGCAAAAGGAAAATAATTTGGTTATCTCAACATTCTGCCTCAGCACACAGCTTGAGTCCAACGCCAACCATATAATCAAGAACAATGGTTCTGAAGGTCAAGACTCGAGACAGTACTAACAAAATGGAACCGATATGACAGGTGATGGGATAAGCAATTAATAAGAAGGATACAGATGTTCAAAACAAAATGGGAATTTCTCATTTTTGAACGTCAATTCAAGAGTAATATAGTTTCATCATAATGCTTTATATTCATTTTTTTCCTTCAACTCCAAATGACCGGAGACTGAATCTTTTTTGACAGCTTGAATTCATGCTTCATGTTTACAGACAACTATCAAAAGTCCTTAACGAAGAAGACTGCACATCAAGTCATGATCAGTACATTAAAGTTCAAATAGAAGGTACACAAGCAGAGTTTCTCGCACCTCAAGTAATTTAGGCTGATAATTACAGTCGAGCATGACATCAATGCCATACATTGCCCTAGAAGTTGGGCTATGCATTTCCGGATGCACAGCAGCAGCTGACTCAAAAACAGATCTGATCATCTGCTTAACTCTAATATGAATATCCAACCATTGAACTGCAATATTACCATGAAAGCATCATGTGAATTAAGGAAAAATTGTGCCACTTTATAGTAGGAGCCTTTACAGGCAATCACAACATGTGGAAGCAAAATACAATCAATACCATGATGTTCTTGTTCAAACTCCTTAACAAACTCAGGCGTATTCATGTGATCCAATGTTCCCCTGTAATTCTGAAAATAAGATGCAAAAAGAAATCTTCAACTGTGACTGAGTGATACAGTTAAAAAAAAGCCCAGGGAAGCTAGTCAAACGCTACTTGCCTTCACAGACAACGAGGTGTTGTAAAAATGTAACACCAAGATTAACTTCAAATATGAGTTAGTCGAGGAGAAATGGTGATATACATACCATAACCGTGAAATGTGTCTCGTAGTCAAACAAACTGTGCTTGTCCAATGAGTAAGTGTTGTTTGCCAACCTAACCTGAAATATAGATGGAGACAGTAATTGCATTTTGTCATGATCTGAAGCTCTTGGTATTTAGCACTTTACTACGTTATCTTTTTCTTTTATGCAATTATGCATCTAAATTTTGTGATTTTGGGTACACTTTGTCATCTCGGACAAATCTCAACTGTTAGAAACACCTTGCAATCGATAGCCCAGGGTGATCAGGTAGGGCAAAGTCTAACAAATTGTAAAAATCAAGGGAAGAAGGTGTAAAAATAACTGATAAATGGACCTCGGTAGAACTCAACCCCAAAAGCTAGGCTAGCTCAAAGGGAGAGGGTGCCCAACCCTCACTTATACACAATAACAGACCAGTAGTAATCGATGTGGGACAAAAATAACTCCTAACAGGTATTGTAAAGTGCAGAAAAGACATGTTCAGAATGGACAACTGTAACAACCCAAAACAAAATGCACTTACCCAAAAAACATCGAAAAGGAACATCTCCAATGGATTCATGCTCCGCACCAGAACAACGTAACGTAGATCAAACTTTCTCCCTTTAAATAAGGCAGGGTGTTCAATATACTTCTGGCAAATCTTTGGACCTGTTTCCATGAGACGGATGATTGCTGTTAAACTCTGAGTAACAGTCGTGTCGATTGTTCGGGCCATATTCCATGGTTTTAAGATCCACAAGTTGTCAGCCCCATTCTTCTCCCGTGTGTAATAGTCTCCTATTAGTTGTGTCAGATGCGTCTCAAGATTGTATGTCGGCTGGAGCCAGGTGGGTGCGCCATGAAACTGTACCAAAAATGGTTGTTGAAAAGAAAACTAATGAGAACATTTAAAGAAATATACAACTTCCATTGATTGCATGCTGGACCTTTTGAACAGTTTCAGCTAAATGATGCTTCATAACAAGACAGGCTTCGAAAGGAAATTGATTGATGTATTGCTGGTCATTCAGTCCAACAGCCTTCTTCATCTCTTCGTCCACTTGCACACTGGTCCATACTATATCCGCATTCTTTGGTTCAGTTGCTGCAAAAGAAGTAAATGAAAAGAAATTAAGTATCATTTTTTTATTAAATAACTTTTTAAAAAAAAAATTAAAACTCAAAGTAGCATCAGAAAACTCTCAATTTCATAAACCATAATAAATGGGTCCAAGAGAGTGGTTTCAAGTGAGTAGCTAATGAAAATTATATCGCCTCATTTTTGCCAAGCATAATCCACTATATAAAACTCAGTGAATTAACTTGAAGTGTTATTCTGTGCAAGTGAATGTGTAATTACAAGAGGTTCGAAAAAAAACCTACTGGACTTCGAAAATGCGAATACACAAAACTCAATTCATGCTGAAGAGATAAGAAATAAAAATAACTATGATGAATATAAAACCGTGGAAACCAAACCATGAGCACAAACACATACTAAATACGAACTCTGGACGAGTCAGGAATTCCTCTAGTTGAGGTATATCTGTGTACACATGCAAGACACTTTTCTCCATCTCCAGAAGACTTTTGGTTGCAGATGGCATCTTTGATGGCAGAGAGAGCTTTCTTGGCCGTAAATTGATGCTGTATTGTTCATACTCCTGAAAAAACAACAAGAAAGCCCCAATTATAAGAACTATAAGCATAGAGTTACCAGAGGTCCAGAATTAGAAAACTCCAATCCGGACAACATACTTTAATAAAGTATTTTTGAGGTGTATGAAACCAGGCAGTAAGCCTAGCAGAACGTTGTCTATCCTCCCCAATGCCGAATAGGAAATCCCGAGTGCACTCGTCACCTTTCTGAACATCATTCGTAGGCCAAAGGATTGAGTAACTGAAATATGTTTCATAGAGAGAGTAGTGTAACTTTTCACAGAATAAACAAATGAAATAGAAACTCTTATGGCCTTGGAAGGATGTACCCACCCAATATCCAATTTCCAGTTTATAGCCTAAGAAAGGAATTTCAAGAAATATTAATTTTGTTTGAAAAGAACCTCACAGCAGACTCCAGTTTCCCATTGGGCATGTAGAGGAAAGGTGAAACTCTGAAATTGGGTTCATCACTGTGCCGCAAAGCTGAACCCAGTTCATCCATAACATACCTTAAACCAATGCCAAACAGGATTCACAATAAGAAAATAACCAAAGATGATATACAACATAAAACTTTCAAAGCGCAATTATTCTATCAGTACATTCAGAATAACAAATTTGTACAAATTTCTCAACGAGTCATAAATTATTGCACTTGCTACCCAAAATCCTGTTATTGCAGTATTGTTGATTTATATTAAACACAAGAAAAAGCACTCAAGCAACGAACTATGTGCATACCAAACAGACGTTTCATCTATCTTTTCTTCATCTGCAAGACGATATGTCATCACGTACAACCACATTGCATTGAGAACACGATCAACAAGAGACTCCCCAGAATTCAGCTCAGGGAGACGTGGCTTTAACATCGAATCAACAACGCTCTTTTCCGATTCCAAGATTTTGGATGTGGTCAGCCCGTTTAGGAGAGAGAGATTGGGCAGGGCTTCAATAATATCAGCAGCATTTTCTCCAAGTGGCCCAGGAATATCAACCTGCCAACACTATTCATGTAAGAAGCAAGCAACTTATAATAGGAATATTAGCATTTTTTTCATCTATTCAGAATTACCTCCAGTGCAGTTAAGTTGACGAATCCTTTAAGATATTTTAGCAGCCCACCAACTGAGATTTCATCTAATGGATTTCCGCGCAGATTCAAGTATGAAAGGATAGGCATTTCTAACGGAGAAAAGGCCTGTAAAGGAGGCAGAGCAACAGAATGAAGAAGAAGCCAATCAAGAAGTAGATGAGAACAAATTTGGACGTCAAAAGCCCGTAAGAGAATTAGATTGAAAAAAAAA